CGTCCGGAGAGAGAGTGAAGGTCCCGGTCTCGGAATCACGCCTCGGCTGCCATCTTCTACCTACGCCGGGAGTCTGGAGTATGAAAATGTTCCACCGCCTCCTCCACCGGTCCTCCACCACCAGCCACCCCTATTCCCTCTCTCTCTCTCTCTCTTTCTCTCTCCCTGTTAGGAAGCGAGCGCTGCGCGTTCTCTCGCGCTCCACCCCGCCCGCACGGGACGCAGAGAAAGACAGGCCGCGCTAGAGTGGGAGAAGAAAGCTTTTTCCGTACAACCCCCTTCCGCGCGGCCAACCTCTCCACCCTCTCTGTCGAACCTCCGCGTCGCCTCTGCTCCCAGATTCACGCAGCTTCTCTGTACACCCTAGGCTGCCTTCGTTCCCGCGCACCGGAGGGGAAGGGCGAGCGAGGGAGAGCAGCCACCTCCACCAGGGTTGGTGGCCCACCTCTTATCGATTCCTGCGCCATTTCCCGTCATTCCTGTCAAATCAATAACGCGGCGGCGGTGCCGGCGGCCACCGTGGCTCCTTCGCCACGGATCAGGCGCCGATAGAGACGCGAAATCCCCTAGCTGCCGCCGCCGCTGCTGCTGCTGCTGCTGCTGCTGCTGCTGCTGCTGCTGCTGCTGCTGCTGCTGCTGTTCAGCGTTCGAGGGACCATCGCGCCTGCTCGCCCCCAGTTCCTCTTCGTCTAGTTACTCTCTTGCCCGGCTGTACCCGCGGCCTTCCGACGATCCAGAGATGGGACACTGGCCGGCTCACCTGCATCCCTGCATCCCTGGTTACCTCTGGACCTCGTCGTTGCCCGGACGTTGCCCCGTCGGTCGCTCTCTCTGTTCCTCCGACAAGCGACAGCCCCCGGCCCGGTGTGCCGCTGTCTCTGGGCCTCCCTGCGACCCTCTCGTTCTCGCTACGCGCCTGCACGATGCCGCTGCTGCTGCTGCGAGCTGTTAAGGATAGTGCAGACTGGCGGTTGCGCGCACACGTGTCCGCTAGAGATTCTTCGGCCAGTCTTTCGGCAGACTCTTTTGGGAATGAGTATGCTCTACGCTGAGGATCATCTGGGAATTTGTAGATGATCGTTGCTGGAGACATTTCTTGGGTAGCGCAGAGATTAGAGGTTTCAGGTGAATGTTCGGGAGACTCGGTTGGGAATGAATGATTTCTTTGGATAAATGGCGAGAGATCGGCATGTAGTTTCTGATTTTTGTACTGTGTAAGGCATTGTAGAATTTAGATATTTTGAATCTTCGTTTGTGAAGGTTAATAGTCTTTAATATTTTCTGGAGATTCGTTTGGATCCGTTTTCGATGAACGTGTCAGCAGAGGAAGATCGGTGTAGTTCGTTGAAGCGATCGAAGGCATCATGGGAGTTTCCTGTTACAAAGAGGACCAGTCGTAACAATGAAAATTCGGAAAATTGATTTGGCAACGTGTAAACTTAACAGTAGACGTATGAGACAGTTCAAAATGACCTGATTTCCTCTTTTCGTAGTTATTAAAAAGATAACAGGTTCTCCGAGAAATCACTGAAGAAATTGATTTAGCAACACGCAAACTGAATCGTAAATCGAATTAGAGTCTCGATAGACGCACCCTTGAAGTTGCCGCAGAGGAACTTTAACAAGTCAGTTTAATTACTGGGTAGGTTTAGCGTTGAAACTTATTTTCTCCGAAAACGGAGGATTGTCGAAAATAACCACCAAGATTTTTTATTTCTAGATATTTAACATGCATAGAGTTCAATTCAAAAGAGATTTCTATATCTCGCCCTCTCCTTAGTGTTGTCTGGTCAGGTACCGACTCATACTACTTCCTTAAGAGACTGTTCTTCGTCAAATGGAAACTTCATGCTACCCATAGACGAACGTATGCAGCATCCCATCGTTCGTTCCTTCAGTCCAGGCGTTAAAGATTGCTCTAATCATTAACCCCTTGACCTACAATGTCTCATGAAAATTTCAAAGTGATCTCAGGAAATCTAAGAAATCTATCAATCGTCCTTTAGAGTAAACATAGACACAGATCATCAAAACTCATTCTCTCCTTAATAAATCATTAACGATAAAGTAGTTAATAAATCATAGTTAAGAAACGAGCCACAGAGCAAGGGGTTAACGTAGTACGAAAATCTGAAGTCTCCCGAGCAGCGTCACTGTCAATGTCAGCCAGCGAAACAAGAACAAGAGAAGAAAATTCGGGTAATAGCGAGATTCGTCGATCGAGAAAAAGGACGGGGGAAAAAGGGGAAGAGAGAAACGAGCTCTCGAGGGACAAAAGATCGCCGCGAGAAAGTATCGTGTTCCTGTGCGGGGGCGGCGGAGGGTGCGCGGACGCAGGAGAGCGGCTTATTCATGCTTTTTAGACGCGCACACACGGCCGGCATACAAGATCGAGAGGCTATTCAGCCCGCCTCCGGCTAACGAAATTTCGTAGCTCCTTAGCTACCGAGTGACATCTCGCCTCGAAATTTACACGGCGCGTACGTGCGCGCGCGGCGATCGGTATCGGGATCGCGCGAACCGGCGCACCATGGCGCACTTGCCTACCAGGCGCGGTAAAACAGATTTTCCCAATGAAGTTTCGTGTGCACCAGGCTTGTTTGGTGGAACTCGGAGTCGCTTTTGGCACCGTTGAACAGGGGAAAGTATATCCTTTAACGTAGAAGGAAGATTGACCGCTATTTGTTGTAATTGTGGTAGTTACGGCAATTTTATGCAGCGTCGCTCGCGGCGCGTCACGCGATCTTCGCGTCTACAGTATCTTCGGTTTTGAGGCTTGGTTGGTAGATTTTGGCGTTGTTCTTGGTACCATTGGAAAGAGACAAGACTATTCTTTAATATACAAGACGAATTGAGTGCTGCTGTTCATCATTGTAGTGGCTACAGGAATTTTATAGGGATGTTGCATAGCAATATAACGATTTCTCGTTATACAGAAATATTTCAGAAATAATTGATAGATAATAAACTTCTAAACAGGTCAATTAAATTCTCCAAATATACAATTTACTGTTTATTATATTAACCTTTTGCGCTCCATGGTTTCTCACTAACGCAATATTTCTCAACGAGATATAAACTGCGTTCTTCGACACAAACGACAAAATGTATATAAATTAAGAACCGTAGTTTCATTTCAATATTCCGCATACCGATGTACAAAGCATAATGTTACATAAACGACTATAATTTCACTACGAGAGAGTCACCTCTCAAGAATTCAACAAAAATTCCTTCGAACTCGTTATCGAAGAGACATTCGGGAAACGAGAGCTAGCAGAGTATTTTCAAATCCGGCGTGCGTGCCAGTATCCTTGAAGAGGTTAAAGAGGAACGCCTAAAAGTTCCTCGAGGTTGGCACGAGGCGGTCTGGGAAGAAACAAGCGGCGGGCTCGCGGGACAACAAAATTCCTGAGCTGATCGTGGCTCGCGCGCGGAGCTTCTAAATAGCGGCCCGCTATCGCGAGGTTTCATCGTTCGGAGAATGGGTGGACCGCGACAATCTAAATACGCGCGGAGACACGCGTGAATGACTCTTTCACGGGCGTTGAATGTGATCCGCGTGCCCGGCGATCCACAGCCCCGGGACACGTTCCTCTTTTCGCTTCATTTCTGCAAATACCGGCGCGGAGCTCGGCTAGCTAGCCGCGTCTGCCCATCGATACGAACGGCTCAAGCTCGAGCGTTCCACGCGACCTTTTCGACCATCCTACTTTCGGATGGCCGTCTGTTTCTTCGGTTAAACGTGCCGCGGCTCGCTGCGTTGAAAGAAAGTTGCTATTGGGAGATCAGCGTGTTCGAATTGGGAAGGAGCTTTGATCACTTTCTTGACCTGTTGAAATACTGAATGACCTTCGCGGTGTCAACGTCAAGGTCATACAGACGTTTGTTATTTTAGGTGATTTTGATAGCTTCCTTTTCTGGGGTATGTTTGTGTCTTGAAAATTGAAAGAGAATGCTCATAATTGCAGGAAGAAGTTTGATTGCAATGTAACTCGTCTAGATGTGTACCATAGATGATAACGAAATGTTTTGAATGAAACAATAGAAGAATAATCTTGAGAATTCGGCACTATTTCAAGCACAGTTGTATTCAGTAAGGTTCTGTGATTGGTATCTAAAAATAAAATCCTCCGCGTACGTCCGCCTTTTCGTTCTACAGTGATTTTATCGCCAGGCACGCCTCCGCTCCGTTTGGCCCTGCCTACCTCCTGGCTACGCTCCGCCCACTCGGCTTAGCTCTGCCCCGGTTAGCCCAGTTCTCCAATAGTCTAGCCCTGCCTCGTCGCCTGTTGGCTCCACCCCCTAACGGTTTAGCTCGCCATTTGACCGTTTTACCCGCCTCTTCTTTAATTATTCCCGCCCCTAACCGTTTAGCGCCGCCCTTCCTTCGGTTAATCTTACCCCTAACCGTTTGGCACCGCCCTTTCTTCGGTTAATCATACCCCTAACCATTTGGCGCCGCCCTTTCTTCGGTTAACCAGGCCTCCGACAGTTTCTCTCCTCAACCCGTCAAATAACTTCGGTTCCTTCTAATTTCTAACGAGTTCACACCTTCTGTTTCAGGAATACTCCTCCCCTGGCATCATAACCAACAGCGAACTACCATCGAAAATCAGAAGAGAAGAGATGAAAACTGACTAACAAGAGATTCCTCAGCCACCGAGTGATCCACGAATTCTACGTCAACACCGACTGCCTGCCGTCCGACCGCACGTTGACCTATGCTACCGCGGCCGACAGCTCGCCGATCTGTACCGCTTCGTTCGTCCCTGCAGAGACTCCAACCGCTTCGTCCGGTAAGTCGCCGACCCGCACCACTAACTTCTTTATTGCACGTCGAACACAGGTTGCAGCCTCGCGGAAACTACGCTCGAACGATCGGCAGATCTTCCCCCGAAGTTCCCGCCGGGTCTCGAACCATCTCCCCTCGCGGAGGATCCGCCGGTCCCATCAGAGCTCGTGATTAATGGGAACCGGAGGAAATAACGAAATCAGATATACGTATATCGGGGACGAACGGCTGGCCTGAATTACGGCCGCGAGTAATGCGCGCCGCTACACCCCCAAGCATATTTACGCGACATTATGCAACTCGCGGCGGGGAGCGCGAGTTAGGGTAGAACTCTCGAATTGAAAATCATTGTTCGAGGCGCTCGGCAGCCGGTACGTGACGGACTTGATGCCGGCGATAATGGTGATGATAGGAGCTGTTGTTAGAATATTAACAGTTTATGAATATACAGGGTGTTCTGAGGAGTAGGTCGACTCGTAACCAATGAGAACTGTGAAGATAATATTCAAGCTTCTCTGATCTCTCTGAAATTAGAGAGATATATAGAGATTTTATAAGTTCTCTGCAAGAGTGTTTCTTTCAGACGCCTATTCCAATATTTGAAAGACAAATTTTCAAGATTGCCCTTCTAATTTTTAACTCGACACAGTTCATTAACGTGTCTCAATGTTTCTTTCCTGATGTCTTCTGATTTTCGACAATTTTCATCGAATGTTCCATTCAGTTGACGAACATTTTACAGTAACTTCGTAAAATAGTGTCGATGGGAAAACTGAAAGTAGAGCACGATGGTTTGCAGAACATAGGGAAATACGTGCTTAATAACAATAATGCAATTCAATGAAATGATTTGATATTATATTCTTCCCATTTTGTGTATTTCGCTCTATGAAATCGTGCGGCGTTCAACGTGTCGATAAACATCTTCAAACGAAAGCTACAAATTTTCTGAAGCACCTCCACTAATTTCAGCAACAAGCAGCCACCGAAAGTGAACTGTTTTGGAAACGATTCCGACCGGTCATCGACGGAAATCGCTCGATTCCCGCGTCATCGACGAATCGTCCTTGAAACGGACGAGACTCGCGACATCGCCCGCATCCGTACCGATCGCGGAACAAATTTTTAAGCATCCGCACTGCGTCGGAAGACCGTTGACCGCGAAGATGCAATTAGGCTGCAGTCTCGCGGTTTGCATGCGCCTCCGCAGCCGGCCTTCCATCCCATGATTTATGATAACCGGCCTCGGAGCGAGCCCCGGCGCGCTCTTTGATTTCCTCGAGCCACGGCTCGGCTAGCTTCCATCGGCCACGCGTCTTTAATTAGTTTGATTGGAAACCGATTTAGTTGCACGCGAGTGCGTATCACGGTGGCTCGAAGGACTCGTCGGAGTATCGGCGAAACCGATTTCGAGCTTCAGTAGATTGAGCTAAATAATACACCAATCGCTTAATTAACCAGAGAAGAAGGAAACTACATGCTGATCTCTTGTTTGACTAATTCAATCATTTGTTCGCGACTTGCTTTTCCAAATACAACAATTCCATCTCATCTAATTGATTTATAATTCAGTTTGCGCATTGCTAGGTCGTATTTGAACATTCTTCCGAGAAACATCTGTCATCTCTTTAATAATTGGAAGAAGGAATGGATGATTTTGTCTCGATTGAAAATTGTATTGTTCGAAATGTTATTCATCTATTAGAATCTTGGAAATAAGAGACTAACGACCGACAAATAGGTTATAGTTTGCTTATGCACTATATTATACTATTTAATTCATAATTAAACATTATATTTTCATAACCATACGTGGTACACGCGACGATCGCGTTAAAGACTCGCCGAAGCCGCAACCGACGCGACATACAATTACAATCCACCAAGCTGACCGATCGTCACGAAACTCGGCGCGCACCTAGTAGAACAATCAAAGACCGCACGCCGCGAGTTTCGTCTTCGTCCGTTGTCCCTAACCCGTCCGGCAGCAGAAGTCTGCGGAGTCTTCGAGCGCGCCTCGCGAAATCGGATGCGCGGCGACGCCGAAAAAGCCAAGAAAGCCGTCGCGTTCAGCCTTATCCAGCCACTTTCCCGCGGACGATAATGGGCTCGTTTCGTCCCGGCCGGAATCTTAGGCCGCAATCAATTTACTTGAAACCGGTCTACGTGCGCGATTCACCGAGATAACCGGCCGCCTCCTCTGTGAACCGCGCCGAGCCGCTTCCTCCGAGGCTCCGCCGAGTTTTCTGAAAATGACTGACGCCGGATTATCAGATCGTCCGTGAGCCACCTCGTAAATTATTAAGACGCGTGCCGGGCTCGCCTCGTTCCGCTCCGCGCGCGACGAGGCGACGAGAGGAACCGTTTCCGACCGCGTTCCCGGAGCGTACGAGCGGTCGACGAACGATCTTCGGCTGGCATACGATCGTTCGAGTGTCAGACAAATGATTTGATGTTATATCATTCCCATTTTGTTGTTTTGCTCTATGAAATCGAGCGGCGTTTAACGTGTTAACGTTGTATGTTTCGAAGAATTTTCGTCCGCAAAGTGTTAAAATATCAATAATTGCGAAACAAACGAATCGAAACGTAGTTCTAGTGTTAACACATTGCGTACGGGCTAATTATCAGAAAATTGAACTGTGCGGATTTTCAGTGAGATCCACTTATATCACTATGTATAAAAAAACATAGGTATCATATTGTTATGTAATATATTTTAAATGGACAATTAGTTGTAATCAAATTTAATATTTCTTTAAATGCTGTGGTAATTAGCAAAGTTATATAGCTAAGGGTCTTCGTATAAAAACGAGACTTCTCGTTACCAGTACGCAATATGTTAAGAGCCACGAAACCTGTTCGACACCGGATCGAAACGTGTTCCCAACGTCCGAAAAGTCCCGGGACAGCCGCGCGTTGAGAGACACTGGGCCGAACTGTCGATAATTGAGGCGGAATGGAATCGTTTCGAATAATTAATTACTCCGTTGTCGGTGTTCATCTTGTTCGACTGGACATCTACTTGTCGGTCCGCGTGAAGTCCCGTTCCGTTCGCCCGATCATTGACAGGACCGTTCTACTTGTCTCGCGGAGCTAGGCCGGTTCTACTTGTTGGACGTTGGGCAACGCACAGTGGGGCGGTCGCTCGATTTGATCGGCAAAAATTTAAAACAGATTTCTGTCGAGTTTTTGCAAGGAAATATGGGAATGCGAGAAGTAATGTACATCATGCAATTGTGTGGCGTAATAAATTTATCGATATAAGTTGTATATAATTGAATATTAACATGGAAACATGTATAATGCATATACTACATCATAACTAACATAATCGTTTAATTTGTTAAATTTCTGCAGGTTTTCTATGCTAGTAAGCGAAATTAGATGTATTTGTATGTATTTGTTGAAAAGTTGCTGCAGTTGACACTGGTAGTTTATAGGAAAAACATTTGCTTCGAAGTATTAAGCTTAATGAACGTAGAAATCTTCGGAGCACTGAGGATCAGTGCACGGGGCCTAGTCGGAGGCGGAGCTACTGGCCTAGTCCCTCCTCTAGAGCAGTTAACTCCGTCTACTTCCAGTCTAGCCCCTCCCCTGGGCGGTTTATTGCAGACAATCCGCAGAAAACTAGCAAACTATTAATTCTACATCACTCAAGATATATAAATCTGCATCATAAATTAAATTATTCCATATTACACCACATAATACATGACGTATTATCATCGTATACCATACAATAGCACACTATTGCATTATTACATCACATTCTCTACTTCCTCGCAAAAATCTTCAATATCGCGCGGGATCCGACTGCGTCACACGCACCGTTCTTGAATGAATCACAGCTAATTCCATTTTCTCAATCAATGAAATCGAGCATCTCGATTCCATCTCTCATGTAACTGTCCTCGCAGTGGATCAAAAACGAGTTTGCCACTGTTCTTCTCGCAGATCTTTTTCCTTTAATCTACGACTAGATTTCGAGGAAAGGAAGCTAGGAAAACAGAATTGCCGAGTTCGAAGTCGCGAGCGTCGTCCCGGCCGCGAAACTTCGGGCTAAATCTTCGCGGCACTTCGTCATCCGTTCCGCGCCATTTCCTCCGTTCGCCCCTCCCCCCGGCCGGCAACTTTCGACGATTAACTTTTTTCGGGCGAATAAACTGAGGGAAGGACGGTGTATCGATGCCTCGAGCGCGAAAATAAACTGGCGCTGGTTATTAGGCCAGCTGTGCCAAACACGCCGCGCCGGACTTAACGCTCCGCCGCGCACCTTCTTCCGCGGAACTTGCCGCGAGTGTCGCCAGCTCCTCGCCCCTCCCCGCTTCCGGTTCTGACGAACAGACGACCCGAGAGCGCGACGCACGCCGCGAACTGAGGCGGACGCTGGATTTTCACGGTGAAACTACGGATTTTCACGATGCAACTACTAGTCTCCCTGGTGGATTCACTAGTGATAACTATCAATGATACGATATTTTGCAGCGAAGAGAAGCAGGAACAATCATTAATCATTTGGCGTTACAATATTTGCGTTACTCTATTGCTAAGTTAGTTACATTATTAACACTAACAACCGAGTAATTAACCGTTAGCACTGCAGATGGTTTTGTAATTTATCAGCAACTGCAATTTTTATGGTATCTCTAGTGAAAATGAAAAATGCTATAACGTTCCTTCGACCTTTTATTTTCCTTAGCACAAAATTTCGATGTGTGAAGAATCTAATAATTTAAGAGTAGCTTCTTCCATTCATTAAAATATTTCATATTACAACTGCTGCAATATTGAAGCATACAGAGTTCAAAGAGATGAAATTTTCATATTTAGAAGACTAAGTCGTTAATAAATGATTTAATTACTCGGACAGCTAGAGATTAACAAAGGGTTAACGCGTTAAGCGCCATGTCAGTCCTGGTGACTGACGCTTCTGAATGACCAAAAACCAATCGTAACATACAAGACAACCGATGTGAAATAAAAATGTTTAACAACGCAACT